TAAATGTAGAGAGAAAAAACTATTACTTATTATTTTTAACCATTAGATTGAAAAAAATTAATGATTAAGATGTGGAGTAAATTGTAATAATTTTATATATTCTATTTTCGATTCAATGATACACAATTATTTTTAATTTACATGAAGACTGCCAAAGAGGTGTGAGACAACAGTAAAGAAAACTATTTTGAGGCCGAGGATGTTGCACAAATTTACGAAAATAAGATAAAGATTGTGACTATCAAATAAGGAGACCAATCCATTAGTGAGTATGTTCAAACTCTACAAAATATATGGTTGAAGTTGGATCATTATGAACATTTTGAAGCAAAATGCACAACAGATGTTATTTTACTAAAAAATTATAAGGAGGAGGACATAATATATTCGTTCTTGACATATCTGAATAATTAATTTGATCCAATACGAATTCAAGTACTCGAAAAAGAGTTACTCTCACTAAATGAAACCATGGATGTCTTTCGAACAAAAGAATCGCGAAGAGGAGTGATAATGGAACCTCAATCAACGGAAAGTTCTGCCTTAGTAGTACAAAACCGAGGGAAGAACATTGACCAATAGAAGAATGGTCAACATAGATGAGCCCCTAAAGTGGAGAGTGAAAGAGGGGATAACAAGAATTCTCTATAGTATACCTTCTGCAAGAAGCAAAGGCACACCGAAAACAAATACTAGAAACTTCATAGAAAACCTTGGAACACCCAAAGGTATTCAACGAGGAGGAACAGTACATGCACACATGGTCCAATCATGCGTTGTCGAGGAAAGTCATTCCAAATCCACTGCAAACTTCAATTCAGAGGAAATTACAAAACCAAGGGAATTACTAGATTCTAATCCAGCCCACAAACAATGTAGTACTTCTTTGGTACTATCAAGTATATCTCGTGTCTATACTCTTAGCGTTATACAACTACAACAAAAGATATATGGACTGTTTATTATGGAGCTACAAATCACATGACCCATTCCTCTATTGAGTTTATCTCTTACAAACCTTGTTCAAGAAATAAAAAATATTGTCACTGCATATGACACCTGTTATTGGAAAGGGAAATATTCCCCTAAGTCATAATTTTATTTTGAGAAATGTATTGCATTGCCCAAATTATCTGTCAAACTGTTATCTATTCACAAACTTACAACAGATTTACAATGCTTAGTGACGTTTACTCCTACAGTTTGCAAATTTCAGGATCAGGAAATGGGGAAGATGATTTGACTTGCTAGAGAGGACAATAGGCTCTACCTTCTTATGGAAGCACATGGGGCCAGTAGCATTAAGAGTGAACTTCCACTGTTTTTGTTGTCAGTCCTTCTCTCTATAAAGAAATCTGGTTGTGTCACTTTTGGTTGAGCCATCCTTCATTCAGCACTCTCAAAAATATGTTTCCTACCTTATTTCAAGATATAAACTTAGAAATTTTTCACTGTGGTGATTGTGAACTAGTTAAACACAAATTTGTTAGCTTTCCTAATAATAATAATAATAATAAAAGAATGTCTACTTCTTTTTTCTTAGTCCATAGTGATGTTTGGGGGCCATCCAATATTTCAAACATATCCGGGGCCTATTGGTTTGTCATTTTTATTGATGATTGTACTAGAGTGTCATAGGTGTATTTCTTGAAACAAAAAAGTGAAGTCACTCGAATATATATTTTTTTCAAATGATAAGAACCCAATTTGAGACAACCATCAAACAATTTCATTCTAATAATGCCAAAGATTATTTTAATCAAACATCGTCTTCCCTTTTCAATGAACATGATATTATTCATGAATCATCATGTGTCCACACCACATAACAAAATGGGGTGGCTGAATGGAAAATTTGGCATATTCTTAATGTTATCCGAGCATCTTTATTCCATACAAATGTTCCAAAACAATATTGGGGGAGGTTTCCCTTACTAAAACCTACTTGATTAATCGCTTACCCTCTCAAATTCTTTGAAATAACAACCTTATTCAGTTACTCTCCAAATTCTACCCAAATTTCAAAATTTCAAGCAACATTGTTCCTAGGATCTTTAGGTGTGTGTCATTTATCAATGTTCATTCTCCACATCGAGGAAAACTTGATCCTCGAGCTATTAAATGCACATTTCTTGGTTACTCCCCTACCAAAAAAGGTTACAAGTGTTATCAACCTTCAACTAAAAAGAATTTTGAGTCTATTAATGTCACTTTTGTCGAAACCTAATCCTTTTTTTCCAAACCTTATCTTCAAGGGGAGAAACAATGCATTAAAGATAAGGATGATTTGTTGTTCAAAGACCTTTATTTTATTCCTAAGACCCTTGAGTCAAGTTCTATAACCACTTCATTACAGACTCTTAATGCTATTTGTCCACTACAAATTTACACAAGAAGGGTAACACATATTATCCAAACTATGCAAGTCTCAGAATCTGACTCAATTCTTGAAACTGTAATTGATAAGACTGTTTTAGAGGAGTAAAATATGCCCCCTGAAATTGAAGTTGATGGGATTATTTTAGTGGAGCAGAATATATCCATGGATGTTAGAGGTCTTCCAATTGCAATAAGGAAGAATGTTAGAGCATGTACAAAAAGGCTAAAGTATCCAATGCCTCATTTTATATCCTATGATAATTTGTCTAAGAATGATTTCCTACATGACAACCTTGAAGAGGAAATTTACATGGAGGTCCCACCTGAGTTTAACTTTGAGAAAGACAAAGTTTGTAAGCTAGGAAGGCCTTTTATGAACTGAAGCCGACCCATAGGGTCTGGTTTGGCAGGTTTACTATTGTGATGAAAGATATGGCATATAAACAAAGTCAAAGATATCACACTTTGTTTACTAAGCATTCGACCTTAGAGGGAGTTATCACACTAATTGTTTATGTGGATGATATAATTGTAACAGGAACCATCAAGCAGAAATGGATAGCCTAAAAATGTATTTACTAAAAGAGTTTGGTAGAAAAATTAAAATATTTTTTTAGTCTTAAGGTAGCTCATTCTCGTCATGGTATTTTTACCTCTCAACATAAATATGTGTTGGATTTATCATCAGAAACTGGTAAAAATTGGAATGCAAACCAGTAGAAACTCCAATTGAACAAAATAACAAACTTAGTGAATTTGTTAAAGATGCAATTGTGGGTAGAGAATCCTATCAAAATTTGGTTGAAAAGTTAATCTATTTATCTCACACTAGGCAAGACATAGCTTATGCAGTGGGAGTGGTAAGTCAATTCATGCATAATCCCAAAGAAAATCATCTTAGAGTTGTTTGCTGAATTTTCAATACTTGAAGAGCACTTCTGATAAAGGAATTCTATTTACAAATGGTTAAGGAATTACTTTGGAAGCCTATACAGATGCTGACTATGTTATATTTGTAGATGACATAAGATCCACATCCGTATATTGTAATTTTCTTGGAGGAAACTTGATGACTCGAAGGAGCAAAAAAATAAAATGTCGTTGTGAGGTCAAGTGCATAAGCAGAATTTTGGGCTAAGGCTTTAGGTATTTGTGAACTCTTATGGATGGAAATGATTTTACATGACCTAAAGATTGAATGGAAAATGGACCTATGAAACTATATTGTGACAGCAAGTCAGCAATAAATATTTCACATAATCCAGTGCAACATGATAGAACGAAGCATGTCGAAGTGGACAAACATTTCATCAAGGAAAAATTGGATAGTGGAACAATATGTATAATATTTGTATCTACTGAAAATCAAATGACAAATGTTCTTACAAAAGGATTAAGTGGTTCTACATTTCAATCTATCATCAACAAGTTGGAAATGGCTAACATCCACTCTCCAACTTGATGGAGAGTGTCAGAACCAATTGTACATCTGTTAATTAGCTATATAATTTATGTTTAAATAGAATTAAAATCCCATAAATAGGACTTGATTAGTTGAATAATGTGTATTGATAGAAATGACTGACCCTTAATTATAGAATTGACCTAGGACAATGATGAGTATTCATTAAGAATTTCCTTTTCTAATTACATTGTATTCTATTTAAGAGTACATGTTTCTGGAGTACATGTTTCTGGATCAATAGTATGAGAAAAATGATCTTTTGACAATATTCAATATTAAGGTTGTTCATGGTATACTTCATTGAGAAAATTAATCGAACTAAATCATAGTAAAAAATTAACTGAAATTGAACCGAACCGTTTCAATTTACTCAACCAAACCGAATCATAATCATTGGTTTGGTATACCCTTTTGAAATCCTGAACCATACCGAACCGTTGACAGTTAATTTTTCTCAAACCAAACTATTTATTAAAGAACTGATTTGTTAAACTATTTTTAAAATTAAAAAATAAATAAAAACTTGTTTTTAGTATATTTCATTTTCAGTTTCGATTGCAATTTCGATTTGGTTCAATTCTAGAAGTGATTAGACAATATAGTTTGATTTACTAACCAAACGTAACAATTAAATTATTTTAACTTCAATTCAGAACGACACTTCGATTCAGTTCATGATTTCTTAACAGCCCTACTCAATATCATACTCTTTGATTATGTATAATAATTTAGATGATTTAGTTATCTACATGTCGTTAATTAAATTTTAAAAATGAAAATAATCTAAAATTGAAATTTAAAAAAAAAATTGAAAACTTTCTTAGCAATTTAATTGTGTTGGTCATTTCAAGTCGTATGAATGTCATTTTAAATATGTCACATAAAATTGTATCTAAACCTTTTTGTTGTATACATTGAGCAAAGAAGAAAGAAATGTTTTTGTTGTGGGACGAATATCCAAACTTATCTTATTTTCTCTAATTAGATGTGCAATTCATGAAGCTTAGATTAAGAAACCAACTCACAGATACTAACATAAAATTTCTTCTAGGACTAAAAATATAACCCGTTATCAAAAGAATAAAGACTACAACATTCAACTACTGCTAAGTTATTTTGGTTAACACACGCATTAAAGTTATATATAAGGTGTATTCTAAAAATCAAGTGACCCTGCTTTAGTTGACCCAGAACAACTCCCAGATGTGTTATATGAACTCCCGCTTGAACCGTCAACCGGGGCTTGATTTAAACATTCTAGAACCAAATACCTCCTTTTTTGCAATTTTATCGAGAACGTTGTTGCCTCGAGAATCACAGGAACCTGCAAATTGAAAAACTACAATCAACATAAACTTGTTCAGATTGAACAAAAAGAAAGGAAACGGTAGGTTCTAGAAAACAGTGTGTGTGTGTGGAGAGAGATGAAAATAGTGCGTATAACTGGACACAAAATCGACAGAATAATGCTATTTAGAAATAAATCAATATCAAACAAGAATATAACCTGTGTATTTAACCTTGCGACTTTATGTACATTAAGAAGTCCAACCATGTCTTGGTAACCTGTGAGGAGTCTGGCCATTTCTTTGTCCTCATCTGAAACAAATATAGTCTAGTTGTGAAATTTGAGCTAATTGATATAAATAAACACATGAATTATGTAAGTTGATTATGAACCTGGAATTGCTCTGACAGAAAGTAAGGTGTCTGCCATATGTTGCAATCTTTTTGAACAAGATGGAGAAAGAAGTGAAGGTGGAAATGTTACAACAACAACAGCATTTGAAGACCGCGTCATGGCTTTTAAGGACCTAATAAAAGATAGCATATGCCACTCCTGCAATAACAATATGTTATATTAACACACTTCAAATTAGAAAAATATCAAGCATTTATGATCCAAGAAGGATCCTGTGACATGATCTGCCATTAAATAAATACTTTACTTGCCAAATGGCAAAATGAGAAACTGAGTTCAGAACCATGTAACAAAAAGAAAAGAGTAAAAAAGCATATAACTCACCATGTTTGCATATTTGCATTGCGGAGAACAGAATGATTGAATTGCAATACGGCCAGCAGAGGAAATATTGGCTTCATTTCTGCCGATGCCATCCATAATGTTAGTGAATGAGCTTTTGAATAGAAAGGAAGGCATTTTTATATATATAACTAATGCATCAGAACCAAGGTCGATGCAAAACAAGAAATTCATAGAAAATGTTCATCTCTAACTACTTGTATTTCTGATCATGTGGCTGTGTATCTAATACTAGAGCAGGCACCAGAGCTGCAAATGAGTATCGTTCAAAACATTAATACTGAAATCTCAGCTGGCCTTTAAATTCCAGAAGTGAAGAGAATGACATTGGAGGGAGTTTCTGGTATACAAATTAAAATTTACTTTGGAAGGCCAATCATAAAAAATGCGACTTCAGCCCAGGTGCACAAACACTATAGCATATTTGTGATCTAGAAAGTATCCAACAACAACTAAGCCTTTACTCACTAGGCGGGATGGTTCCATTGATCAAATGGTATCATAATATTCTGTCACGTATTAAGTTCTAACATAGACTATTTAGACCTAGATGTCTCCTAGACTTATAATTATCTATACTCTCCCTTTCTTCTAAATTCTAAAGACTATTTGACTATCCTCCATCTCTTCTATCAAACCAACACTTCAAATACCAACACTAAACTTTTCCTACTTGTTGAATACTGGCAAGAACATATAAGGAGACCTAGAAAGAATCCTATATCTCAAAAAAGTAGATTTCAAAAATAGTGCTAGAGATCCCCACACCTTGAGAATTGAGATAGAAATCCAGCACATTGATCTTGAAGAGAAGTGAGGTTTGGAGAATCTTGGATGCTGACACAATCTGCATTCTTGCCACTATAAAAATGTCGCTCCAGAGGCTTCCGCAAGTCAAAATCATTGCAGTAATCATGGTGAGCACCTGTGCAATGCAAGTATGATTCAACTCAATAAGATGTGAATTATTCACTGTCAACATTACATCGATACACAATTAAACAATAAGAGAAGACCAGGGAGAAATTTACCATAATTAGAATTGATACTTAACTGAGGATCACCAAAGTACTTCTTGTATTGCCAAGCAATTCTGAGATCCTTTTCCTGAAATCAACAAATTTCACAACCATGAGAAACATAAGAATAGTTTATACATGATGAGAGAGTGCAACGGAGAAAGTAAAGTACATTAGTAAGATGTCGAGTTTTATCCTCTTTGGGTGAGGCTGGAGCAGGCAAAGTACCAAGAAATCCTTTAGGGTCTGTAGAAGCACTAGTAGCATACAAGAGTGGCTGTTTGTGTAATAGTCCCTGAGACATAAAATTTCTCAACAGAAGCATGTGATGGGGAGCTTCTGCATCTTCCATAATCATCACAAGGCTACCAAGAGAATAACCACCACCTAAAATCTCTATTTTAAAAATAAAAATAAAAAAAGCATAAGAATCAGCCATGAAAAGACACAAATAAAATAACTGAATTTACTATTAGAAGGAAGTGAGAGATATACTTACTGTCGAGATCTGGAATCCCAGACGATATAAATGTTGTCCCATTAGGGCCATGCTTGACTCCCGGATTCCGAGACGTTCCAGTCGAGACACTACGAGAAAAACTACTTACTCCACTCCTTGTTGCAGCCATTCAATAGTAACTATAAGCTTTGAAGAACAAAATGTTACGTTTATAGAAGAAAATAGTCACTTACCAGGGTTAACTAGGCTTAATAAATAAAAGCCCAATAACTTCTAAAAGGCCCATTTTATCTTTTACTCTTGTGTTCATTTTCACCACTGTTTCTCAAAATCTGAAACACACGCCCAACACCAAAACAATGCCTTCCAATGCGACGTTTTTCAACAATTACGGTTACGATTTCCTTCTGGGCTCGATCGCTGCGTTCTATATATTCATGGTGCCTTACACCAAGGTCGAAGAAAGTTTCAATGTTCAGGTATTTTTTTTTTATTTCCATTTTTTTTTGTTGGTAGCTGTTGATTTCTACTGATTTTTTTGCTTCAATTTTGTCTTCGTAAAGGCAATGCACGATATTCTTTATCATCGCCTTCACTTAGATAACGTGAGTTTGCTCTGTGATATTTTTTTTTTTATAAACTTTATTAATTTTTAATTTTGAAGATATAGTTGATTCAATTTAGGGTTTTGTTAACAGTATGATCATCTGGAGTTTCCCGGTGTGGTTCCTCGCACTTTCATAGGTGAGCTTTTGTATTTATTTTCTACTATTTTTTATGATTTTTTCTCTAGTAGGATCTCAATAGATTATCATATTACACTAGTTACAGTTACTCTCTTTTTATCATATTACTATATGTTATCTCTAACACTCTTCATTTTTTTCAGGTGCTTTGCTTGTCTCACTTATTGCGTCTCCCATTGTGTTAATTGCAACTTTGCTGCATTTGCCAAAGTTTTATGCTCTTATCATAGGTACCCTCCTTTTAATACACATCAACACATTGCACATCCATTTTTGCTTATTTTTATTTTCCTCTATTCAAAGTTCTGTAGTGTTTAATCTCCCCTACATTTCGAATACAAAATGTTCATATTTATCAAACGTAAAGACTGCTTCATGTATTTAACTTGCTTCTGTTGATAGTATGTTCTTTTTTTTTGTCATCATCTGTTCCACAACTTATTTTTCTTACATATAGTCTATGGGATGTATTGTTGATATGCAGTTCGAATGGTCCTAGGATGCATCGTACTGTATACACTAAGATTCTTTCGTCATCAGGTTTGCACCTTTGACTCCTTTTCCTTCTTTCCTATTATCTCTATTCGTAATCAACAAAGAAGACCTATGTTCAGTAAATGAATTTTATTTTTCTATGAATCTGTGTTCAGCAAAATCTTTGATATCTTACCTATCTAATTAAAGTTCAGGTTTCATATGAAATGATAGTAAGGATAGTTTTTTTAACATAGCATTCTAGAAATTTTCATAAACCTTATTTCTTTTTGCTTAATTTGTAACATTTTAGCTCATTTACAAAAACACGATTTCAAAACATTCTAGCTAATTTGCTATGCTTGTAGAAACTTACTCATTTATTTTGTGCATCTTGACTGTACTATAGATAAGGGGTTCTTTCCATGCAAATCTATACGGGATAGAATTGCTTTCTTGACATTTTACTTCATAATATTTTGTTTGTGAACTATTTAAAGGGTAGGGGAGATGTAGTTGTTTCTTCGACGGTTTTATTTTACAGCAGAATTGTGGAACTCTCGCCACTATTGTAGATTAAGTTGAATATGCTCCCTGAATCATGTTATTTGTTGTGCAGATAAGGAACAAATTTGGTTGCCAAGTAGAAACCTTCTTTGTGATACTAACTTCCATTCAGTTTCATTTTCTGTTCTATTGTTCTCGCCCGCTTCCTAACATTCTTGCTTTGGGTATAGGTAAATTCCTTGCATTGATTCAGTGAATTTTGTATTTTCAATCTCACTATTTTCCCTGAATTCTTTTTGGTACAAATTTTCCCTTAAATTCTAATAATACCCTTTTAGGGGATTTTCTTATGTGCTAGTCAACATCATGGTTAAGTATTTTTATCTATTTATTTGCAGTGAATTTGGCATTTGGATACTGGTTCCAGGACCGCTTTTATGCCGCTCTAAACTCTTTGGTATATATGTCATATTGTTTTACTTCAGCTTCATGTTGGGGCCGATTTTTTATTTTCCTTTACTAGCTTTTATGCAATTTTTCCCACTTCTATACATGTACATACTTTTTGCAATGCTATTATTATTTTGATTAAATCTTCTGTTCGAGAATTAGTTTCCAAATTAGTCTTTTACAGTAAAGTTGCTATCTTTAAAAAGAAAATACTCCCTCTGTCCCAAAATATTTGTCATACTTGACACTTTCATAACGATTAAGAAAATGTGATAAATGAAAGAGAGAGAATAACAATTTTAACAAACTATCCTGGTTCATTATTGGTGTATTCAAATTATCATTAATACAAAGCGAGAGAAATAGTAAATTAGGAGTATTAATTAGAAGGCATAATTGGAAGATAAAAACTAAAATTGCATTGGAAACTAAAAGCGACACTTATTTTGGAACAATTATTTTTTACAAATGCGGCACTTATTTTGGGACAGAGGGAGTATAAACAAACTTTTGGTGTTGGATTTTACACTGTAAAGATTAAATTTTGTGCTTGGCATTGATGATTGTAATAATCTATTAAAATTGTATAGAATGTTATTTTTATTTATTAATTCACGCGTTCTAATGACTTTAATAGTTAAGTTTATATCTCAAGTTTTGGTCTTCCTTTTACCTTTTCCATTAATCATCCAATTACATATATATTTTTATAAGAAGTTGTTACTGTTAATGCCTAGAATGCTTCTCAAGTTTTGGTCTTCCTTTTACCTTTTCCATAAATGCACCGACTTTTGTGAATAAACTCTTGGCACTTTCTGATTATCAGATTTTTGCTACAACTGTGTTCAGATGTGACATGCTGTTACTTCTTGGTCCCCTTGGGCTACAACTTCTTCTGGTATGTTGCACTTTATGCAAACTTCTTATAATTTGTCCTATTCTCCTTAGATGTTTGAGCTTCTTATAATTTCTCCTATTCTTCTTAGATGCTTGAGCTGCATATAGGGGCCGTTAAGCTGCTATTTTGCGTAACCTTCATATTAGATATTTGTCGATTCTTTAGTTATTATAGTTTTTGTGAGGATATCAAAGGAGTTATGATATTCCCCGATATTTGTTCTTGTTTCTCGGATTTTTTTTCTTTCATATCTATGTAAAAAAAAAAAATGAAAATTTGTCAATGTGAATTACTACACGTTTTTGATGTGTGCTTGTTCTTTTCTTCTTTTTTTCTTCTTCTCGAAATCCACTCACAATGCTTTTTTTTTTTGCATCCTACTCCTTTTTTCTCCAATCAAATAATAAAAAATGTCAACCATTTCTCTCTTATTTGTTTGAGAATGTCACAAGATCATATTTCCCAACACAATTCAAATTATATATCTGTTTTGACTTTTTTTCTTGAGTAGTTTTAATGTTGAAACTTCAGTATGTTTGTTGTTTTTATTGCATTTAAGTTTAGTGTTCTGTTTGATGATTTTTTTACCCAAATTTTCTGGGCTTGCGCTTTTGGTCAAATATAATCAAAAGTTGAAAAATTTGTTCTGAAAATTCAATGTTAAATTAATATGATCAAGCTTTGTGCCTGATAATATTTATCTCTTGAAGGGAAGACGAAAAAAATTTCAGTATGGAGTGTTCTAAAATACTGTACTGGGATGGCTTTCTTATGCGTAGGTTGGTGAAATGTTTTTCTAGTTAATTTTTAATTTAAATAAAAGTAAAATTTATGTTTAACAACAGTGCTTTCATTTAAATCTGATTTTAATATTGAGGTATCCTAATCCTACATACATTACAGGTATAACCATATTGGCTGACTCAATTATGTGGAAAAGGTTGTTGTGGCCTGAGTTTGAAGTTTTTTGGTTTAACTCTGTCCTGAACAAGAGTTCTGAATGGGGAGTATCCTTCATAGAGTTTAAACTTAACAACTGCTTACTATAGAATATCAAAACTATATGATAAATATTTTATGAAGAGTTGGGTAATCTTTTTTCCGCTTTTCTGTTCATGTTAGAGGCTGACCCCTAAGGTCTAGTATATTCATGATTGGTGTTGAAGTTGGTATTTGTGTTGTTGGAGTTTGTTTGATGTCCCACATTGCTTAGGTTTCCGGGCTGTTCAACATATAAATATGTGATGAAACCTCACCCTTTGAGCTAATTTTTCGGGTTGAGATCCAAGCATATTTAACATGGTATCAGAGTCTGGTTCCGATCCAGGGACCTGTGGGTTAAGGGCCCACTATGCTCTTGCTAAATCTATGCAATATTGAGGGTTTAAAGTGTATTGGGATTGGGAATTAGGTGGGCAGTGGTTACTCCTTAAGAATGAATTGCCTATGGGCGAGTCACATTTATTTTTATATTTGATTAGTTATTATGCTCCTTCACAAACATTGTTAGACACATGCTTTCCATTGGTATTTCACTTCCGCACTCCCTCGTTCACTACTTGTTGCATATCCTCTTTCACTGGTAAGTCATCTATTGAACTGATTAATATCTTTTAATTTCATTATGACATGTTATACCTTTAATTTCATTACGTTTGAACTATGAATTAATATGGAATAATTCTATTTGATTTGAAAACTTCATTTCAATTTATTCCCTATTTTTCACTAGTATCTCAGCCAGTTGAAGCATCTAGGACTATGATAGTCATGAAAATTTTAACAGAAGATGGGTTTGTTGTAATACAGCTATTATCTATATTATCTTGGTGTTATTGATACCTTTTTTAAATGTCTCTGATTCAGACATTTTTTTCACAAATTCCCCCCACCCCAATTTTTTCAAGCAAAGAGAAAATAAATAGGCATCAGAAATGGAGAGAATAAAGCCGGTTTTTCTTCTGACTTGACAAGATGTCTGCTTTGCAGTTTGGTTTCTTACTAGACAGAAGAGTACGGCCTTTTGCTTTCCCTGTTCTTGCCTTCATTTTTCTTTACTCTAAGCTTCCCCACAAGGTACTACAGTTATACTATAACACCAGTAGCTTAATTTGTGTCTGTCATCAAACCACAAGCAATTAACATTATTCTGATGGATATTGCAGGAGCTTCGTTTTATTTTAAGTTCAGTTCCAATTTTCAACTTGTCTGCTTCTATTGCATGTAACAGAATGTGAGGTCTCTTGTCGTATATGTGGATTTTAAGCCTGTTCTTGTCTTATATGTTGATTTTAGTTGCAATGTTTATGGTCAGATATGAAATAGACACAAAAAAATTTATATAGGTTGATAAAAGTTAATTGGGTTCTCTGAATTTTCTAAAATTATTTTGTCATGTTTGCAAAATGTATACTAAAGTACAATTGAAAACAGATATTAAAGAATATTGGGAAAATCCCAAGTCCACGTTGGTTATGAAATAGAGCTTTGAAAGAGTTTATATAGAGTGACACCCTCACCTTACAAGCCGGTTTTGTAGAGATGAAACATGAGTGATAGGAACCGATACCAAAGTACAAACTGTTTATAATCAACAATTGACAAATAAACCAACCTCTAGGAATTAGAGAGCCTAGTCTCTTCCAAACCAACTAACATACCAAATACCTCCTTCCCTCTCTTCTCCCTTTCACCCTATATTTATAATTCTGACTTCTTAAAGCAGTTATATAGCAGTTACTGCACTCACAACATTTAATAATAATGAAATAAACTGCCTATAACTAACAATGAGTTAGGTCAAACTCTAAATCTAATATGGTATCATGGCCTATTGATTCATTTAGGCCACCCACTGTTTATATTCTTGCACCAATCCCAATAGTGGTGGGTGTGAGGTGGAGTATTGGGGCCCAAGTCCCACATTGATTAAAGATAGAGCTCGAAAAGAGTTTATAATATAAATGAACTTGAGCTCCTTTCCTTGTTCTAAAGAATTGTATTCTGCACTGTTAACCTATGAGCTGTAGATCAGGTATTTATGGTACATTCAATTGGTTACAAACTATGTAGCACCGATACCTCGAGAAAAAGGCATGTCCGTGTCGATGTCTGACACCTGCACTGAGACTTGTGATTACATTTAATTTATTCATTTTTTCGAATTATTACCAGCGTCGCCGTGTCAGTGTCGGAGTCGTATTTGGGGTGTTTGTTCTTCATAGGTTACAAACACTAACCAACTGACCTGCAACATGCAACATTAACACACACTAACTGACTCTGCATTTACAGTGGTTTTATACAGTATCTATAGTGATTCTATACAGTCTAGTATGCTATACAGGATATACAAAGTATAATCCATACAATACAAATCATACACTCTTACAGTGATGATGGAAATTAACTGTATTTGTTATCTTAATTAAGATTTTCAAATGAGGTGCCATTTGTGAAGAATTAAGTTGATGTTTTCTTGTTTTATGTAGTACTTTTCTAACCTTCATTAGTATGTGTCTTGAAATGTTTCAGTTACAATAATAGGAAAAAGATGATCTGGAACCTGCTTTTCCTCATTATGTTGGGATTACTTCTAATGAGGTTGGTTCACTAGTCATTTTTTTCATCGGTGATATATCTTTCTTTCATGTGCTTATTCTCTCTCTTGTAGTCTTGCAGTAACCGTCACAACTTTTACAGCATCATATTGGAACTATCCTAGTGGTCATGCCTTAAGAAAATTGCACGGGATTGGTGAGTCTATGTGTTGCAAACTTTTCATGCATCTCCTGCAAATCATTTTCCTGGAAAAATTACTGCTCTTTTTTTTGTCCATTATTTTGTGAAAAACATTGAACCTATGGTGTAGTTGAAAATAAATTGCATTGTTATTAGCATGTTCATCTGTTATCTATGTCTCTCAATATCAATTTGGAAGATATTAAGGATTCTTTTTACAATCACTATGTTATCAAGGAAGATTTTCTATGGCCTTTGATAGATGTGGTTGCAATTTGATTTGATATGAATCATTTTCTTTTCTCGCTCACAATTCCTTTCTTCTAAATTACAAGACTAAGTCGTTGAGAACCGAACAACTTCCATCCAGTAAAATTCCTCATTTAAATTACAAAAACCGAAATGTCAAAAATTAATGATATCTTGAATGCTAAACAAGTTATGGATAGGAGAGTAATGGACAAGTTTTTTTTTTGTGGCAGGTCTTCAACAGGATACGAATGAACAAATAGTTCACATTGATACTTTTTCTGCAATGAATGGAATATCTCGCTTTTGTGAAAGGGATTTCCCATGGAGGTATATTTTACTTCTTTCTTTTATACATGCTTATAACTTATGATGCAGCTTAACTCTTCCAAGGATCCTGACAATGTTTGACTATAGTAAGCGTTCATGTAGACCAGTGAAGACATTCCTTTCTAGGCCTTTTGCTTTAGTGTTACTAAGGCAATACCAGTATCTTTCTCATCATTTCTTCATTGATTTTGTTTGCAACAATCGTAGAAAGTTACTGACCACTATTTTCTGATCTTAAGTTACATTTCCACTTTTCTTTACTGCAGATATTCTAAAGAAGAAGAAATTAGCTTGCAAGAATTTCAGCAGAGAAACTTTACTTTCCTAATAAAGTGAGTTATCCATTAACTGGCACATTAGCTGTGATATTTCAAATTCATAAATTGCATGACACATGCTTTCTTAATGATGAGAGATCGCAAAAAAGTGTCATCATTGTCAAATGAGCGATTTTAGGTGATAAATTAGGATACTTATATTTAACATAATATAATAAAATTATAAGATGTTTTTGCACATGATTTCACATTTCTGTGCACTGACTTAGGAATTTTCTTCATAATCCGATCTTTTTCTTGCTTTTTACCAGTGAACATCCTGTGATCAATGGATTCAAGTGTCTATTTACTGAAGATGGTTTCTCAAGAATGCACATTAAATATGGCTTTCCACCAATCTTACTGGTTAGTAGTTGCTGCATTTGATAACCACTTCCAACAATGAATGCTTTGTACCTTCCAAACTTATTTATCTCTGTTTTAACCGGTTGCAGGTTAAAGAGCCCAAAGTTTATGTCCATGGAAATTTAGAAAACCAGGTTGTTTTCAACAAAGTTTGGCCTGGCTGCCCATAGTCCTTTGTCAGGCTTGATATTTAAAAATCGTCGATTGTGAAGTTGTTAGTTTACTTTGTTGCTTGTATCCAATATATATTTTGCTAGATTGCCTGTATTCTTAGGGAGTATGTTGTTTTCCTTTAACCTGTTTAGCATTCAAACACACACCCTGCTCCCCAAATCTTCTTAAAAGCTGTACTTGGGATTTAATTCATTTTAAAGTTTAAGTTGATTTTAAAATTTGAAATAAAATTGTACTGTGAAATTTAGGCTTAGAAAGAAAGAAATATTATCTATAAATTATTATAAATTATAAGTGTTTTTTTAATAAATGTAATCAAATATAATTAAAGTGGAAATAATTTATATCTTATTAAATTAAATTTTTTCTGTTTTAATTAACTAAACCTGGAATAACACAATTGGGTTGGAATAACACAATCAATTAAATAAATAAATTTTTGATGAAGTTGAAAACCAATCTAATAATTTAGTGATTTCGGTAACAAATCTGAGTTCTTACAAAAATCATTGATAAATTTGAGTTTTTTTTTTTGCGTTGTAGTTTCTTGTGTTCTTTAATAGAATGAAATGAAGATCAAGAAAATGATTGTTTGAAGATTAATATAAAATGAAAGAATTAATTATTCAGATTAATTAAAAATATATGATTTAATAAAAAAAAGTATATATGAGTTTTTTTCTATGTTGTAACTTTTTATGGTTTTCACTTAAATTTTGATGAAGAAAGATTAATGGTTGAAGATGAAAATGAAAAAGATGAATGTTTGATGAAGATGAATATAAAAAGAAAAATTAATTATCTAGCTAAAATAAAAATATATTATTTAATATAAAAATATTATATATTTAAGAATAAAAAATCTAATATAATGCTTTGGATTCGCCTTTAATGGTTATCCAAAACATTTTATCAATTGAAATTAAGTGTACATACATCTTAAAATTTTTAATAAGTATAATTTTTTTCTTTTGAAAATAAGGGTTTTATTGTACACTTCATTCTAATCGTCTTTACTAATATACTAAATTTTTAAAGTTGCAAAAGCCGATCAAAAGATCAGCTCTAAAGCTAATTATTAGGTAAAAAATGGACGTTGAATCTCTCGAAAGGAGAGGGATTGAATATATCAATCCTCAAAAACAAATTTCAAAAATTTCTTTCAAAATATCATAGTTTTATAAAAAGTGTGGCACAACGATTGGAACAATTATACTAATAACATAATATAGTGAGACCAATACAACAATTAATACAATTTTGATTAACACGGGAAGTGTACTTTGAACTTATTTAATTGATTAAAAAATCTAGGATAGAGTTTAATAGATATAATCGCCAAGAAGATTGTTTAGGGATTTAGTCTAACACATACTTAAATTTACAAAGATATAGCTAAAAGGAAAGAAGAAAAAAAAAACCAAACAACTTGCAATTTCTAGAAAAATGATAAAATCTAAGCACATTAATCTATGAAAAAAAATTAAAGGAAATAAGAGAAGAGAGGTTGTGCATAAGATTTATATTGGTTGGTTGCATTCTTCCTCGTTAGTGTTTAATCTAGTTTCCAAAGACAAATTATTGTAAATTTATTAGGTCTTCAATTATTTTGCGAATTAATACAAATGCATTTCTGGTACACTGGATTATCAAAACAAAGTTAAACACTTCAATTGAAACAATGCAACACGAGTTTGAATTTTTGATTTCGCTTTGGTTGAGACAGAAGGCTAAAGACTCTCAAACTTTAAAGATCTTCACTTAATTTTGAGTCAAATTCTCGCTAGACTCAAAGTTCCTACTCCAATTTTCTGTTAGTAGTGATCTTCTCGCAACACCATTGAATCTCACAAGAACAACATTCTAGGAGGTTTTTCTTGAAGTTAAATTAAGGGGGATAGTGTTTGTGAAAATAAGAACACACACTAGGTTTTTCTCAAGAATTGGGAAAGTGTGAATTTTTGTGATTTTGATAGAATTTTCTATCTCTATCAAAACTATATGAAGAAAATACAAAAATGATTTATATACGTACTAGAGGTAAGACACAAAATAGGTGAGAAAATGAATAATTGATTTGAATTGGGCAAATCCTTGATTCAAATCACACTTACATCACAAAAATTCATATTTCAAATTGAATTGTTTTTTTGACTCAACCCTATGCTTGATTCGAATCAAACATCAAAAATTCATTATTTTACACTTTCTAACTTGTGATTAAATAACACATATAGTTGACTTTGATCAATTACTCAAACCTAAAAAAAACACTGAAATGGTCTCAATTTAAGTGATGTGAGGGAAAACGCAAGATACATTTCTGCGATGAAATGAAGAAATCAAATAATGAATAAATGATACAAGCAATTACAAATAAAATGATAGAATACAATTATATATAAATGATTAAGCAGAAATATCAAAAAAGCAACAAAACATCCAAATTACACATATGAAATAATAGATGAAATTAATAATGTTAATTATAGAGAAATTTCATACCACTTCACCACCATGACAAAGCAACACCCCATGGAAATACATTTGGAAAATTTAAAAAAAAAACATGCAAACAAAAAAGTCTTGATCCTTAAGAGAAAGCACCCAAGTAAATAAAAGAAATGTCTTTTCCCCTATAGTTGGAGCACACCAAAGATCAAACTTAAAGTTGCGATTAAAAGAAAGAGACTTGAGGCAAGGAGACCCACTATCTCCTTACCTCTTTATTTTTATCTCAGAAGGACTTTCAACCCTTATTAAAGGTATTGTGGCTAGTGGAGATATCCACGGGATCTAAATTTGCAGAGGGGCACCCACTGTGTCCCACCTGCTTTTTCCTGACGATTGTTTCTTATTTTTCAAGGAAAATCTTATGGAAGTTAGACACCTAATGAAGTTACTTGGATTGTATACAGACGCGGCAGGTCAGGAGATTAATTTGGCGAAGTCGAAGGTTTTTTCAACTGTAACTTGAGTACACTAGTGCAGGAAGATCTTGATAATATCATGGGAGTTCGTCATGTGTTGGGGACTGGTAAATATCTAGGGCTGCCCTTGATGATAGTGAGGAGTAGAAAGGCAACTTTTTCTTTTATCAAGGATCGAATTCAGAACTGTATTAATTCTTGGTGTGGTCGTTTGTTGTCTAGAGCTTGTAAAGAAGTAATGATCAAATTTTATCTTCAAGCTATTCCGACTTACATAATGAGCATTTTCCTTCTTCCAGATACGGTGATCAATGATATTGAGAGAATGTTGAATTCATTTTGGTGGGGATGTGGGTCTAATGGAAAGGGTATAAGATGGATGGCGTGAGATATGCTCACCAGTTCTAAGAATGAAGGTGGTTTGGGCTTTCGGGATTTTAAGGCGTTTAATCTGGTGATGGTTGCTAAGCAAGGTTGATTTCTCATGCAAAACCCCCAAGCTTTAGTTTCCAAAATCTTTAAAGTAAGGTATTACCCGCGAAATTCTTTCTTTAACGCTAATATTGGCTATAATCCTAACTTTGTTTGGAGAAGTATTTGGAAGGCCTATGAGGTGCTAACTCTTGGTTGTAGGTGGAGTATTGGTGACAGGAGTAATATCAAGATAATGAACGAACCTTGGATTTGGAGAGGTAGGGAGGGTTGCATGATTGGTCCTAAAAAACAAGGTGTGTACAATTTTACCGTTAAAGATCTAATGTTACCCAATGTTAAGCAATGGAATCTTAGTGACATGTTTGATTATACAGGTGTGGTTGACATTCTTCAAGTCCCTTTGGTGGAGGATGTGAAGGAGGATATGTTGGTCTGGAAGGAGGATCAAAATGGTAATTATAATGTTCGTTCGGGATATACAATATGGAGTAAATTCTGGAAAAAGTGCAAAGGGGAAATAGAGGAAGAGAATTGGAGTAACATTTGGAATAAAAAAGCACTAACTAGAGTGAAACATCTCCTATGGAGAATATGTCGGGGCTACCTACCTACTAAGATGCGACTACGGAAACATCATGTTCCTTGTCTGTCTATGTGCCAGGTTTGCGATAACTCTAATGAAGATGATTGACATATTTTTTTGTGTGCTCGAAATCGAATGATTGTTGGCGGACAGCCGGGTTGTTGGATGTTATAGCACCCCGCTTACTTCATTTTCACGATCCTAAGTCACTAATTCTTGATTTATGAAGTAAAGAGGACATGAAAATTGTCGGTAGAGTTGCGGTTATGATAGAAGGAATGTAGAAGAATATGAATGATATGGTTTGGCATAATGAGAAAGAAGAAGTGTCTAAACTTGGTTAGCTTGCTTTTCATAAGTGGCATGAATGGTTTTCAGCCCAACACAATTTTGATACCGACGTTGATCAATCAGACTTGTTGCATTGGATCCCGCCTTAGAATGGTTGGCTTAAATGTAATGTTGATGTAGACTTTAACCGTTACGTAGGTACAACTAACCGATGATGGTGTTTTTGTAACAATGTGGGTAATTTTGTTTTTGCAGGAGCTGCTTGGGACAAAGGTTCCATGTCCATCATTGAAGCTGAGGCTCTTGCTCTTAAGGAGACCATCCAGAATGCTATTTCTGTACACTTTTCTTTTGTTGTATTTGAGAGTGATTCCTAAAAGGTGATCCATGCTCTTTGGGCTAACGTTGATGGCAACTCTGAGTTTAATTTCATTATTCATTCTATTAAATCGTTGTTATTAGATTTTCCCAACTTTTGAGATAAAGTTTATTAAGCGTCAAGCGAATATGATTGTCTATTCCTTAGCTAGGGCGGTCAATTATTAGACTAAACGTATTTTATTTGATAAGATTCCTCCATGTATTATCTTACATTTGATTAATGAAAGTAGTTAATTTTGTTTTTAAAAAAAAAAAACTATATTTTATGTAATATATTTTTATTTTACTAAGAAATATTTAATGCAAGTAGTTGAGTGAATTTTATCATTAAATATTAAAAATAAGTGTTTATCAAATTTCACTTGTATTATATGAAATTTAAAAGATTAAATGCACTTAAATTTGTTTAATTAATATTAATTTCTTTTAATTAACACATTACATATCGGAGGTGACTCTCATATTTTTCACTTAAATAATTTTTAATTATATTATTTTATTTTCTCTCTCTAAAATATTTAATATATTAATTAATATTTAATATTAATTATCTCTAACTCATTATTTCTATTTCTATGTATTTCAAATATTTAATAAATTTTTAGTATAATTTAATTCGGTTTGGTGTGGAATATCTTAGTAATATCTTTCTTAAATCCAAACATTATCATTATCTGAAAAGAAAAGAAAAGAAAAAGAAAAGTGTGACATGTTTGATAACCATTTTCAAAATTTCTTGAGAGGATGATGATGACGACACCTCTTCAAATTCAATCTTCTTTTCAAAACCTTTCGTCTTCCCTTTTCTATTCTCACACTCTCCCCTTGAAACAAAACCTCAGTGTCTGTTACATTTACCAGAGAAGAGGAAGAGTCTCTTTGAGTTGTTCCATTTCTAAAGTCCACAACTATGGTACAGTTGATTTCGAGCGAAGACCTGTTAGGAAATGGAATGTTCTTTACAAGAGAATCTCGTTGATGGAAAACCCTGATTTGGGTTCTGCTTCTGTGTTGAATCAGTGGGAGAATGAAGGTAAATGTCTTACAAAATGGGAACTTTGTAGGATTGCTAAGGAGTTGAGAAAGTATAAAAGACATCACAAAGCTCTTCAGGTAATAACAAATCTTTCTAAACCTTTTCTTCAATTTCTTATTCTAATTTCGTCACAAAAATTATTATTATTTTTTTGTTGAATTGAATTGAGGTATGTTAGCTCTGGAATTTGGTTCTCTGTTGGATGTTAGGATTTGTGTTTGTGTTTAATAAGTGAAGAATACCTACCACTTATTAACACATTTTCAGACCTTATCGCATTTGATATACAAATCTTAGCACCCTCTTTGCTAAAAGCCTAAAACTAGTTTTTTTTTGTTGTTTTGTTTATATTTATCGTCTTTACATTATCACTCACTCAAAATAAAAAACAAAGCTTGCTTCATCTGGTTTGATAGTGGTAGAAAAGTATAGCATGTTGCAAAATTGTTATAAGGCAACAAAGTTGCAGCCTGGTTCAAAAATAATCCAAGGAATAGAAAAACTTTGGAGAAAGTTACAAGGGCTGGAGTGATAAATACGCTATGGATTCAACTTCTCCCTATAACACAAAATACTAATTACTAACATTTTTTGTTCAAAAAAATATCCAAGGAAAGTAGTAGCCTAGTAGGTGTGAACTATATGAGAATATTGTTATACCAGGTTGGTTCCATAGAAGCTCTACTACTACTCTCTTTGACTCTATCAGAAATTCACTTCTGTTACACTTTCGTACTAGTTTCTCGTCTTCATTACAAATAGTTGTCTAACAGTAGGGTAGCAAATTTTGCATATTTTGCAGGTATATGATTGGATAAACAACAGACCAGAGAGGTTTAGAATGTCTGCAAGCGACATTGCAATTCAGTTAGATTTAATCGCAAGAGTTCATGGAGTTTCTCGTGCAGAAGGATTTTTTCTGAACCTGACTGATGATTTAAAAGACAAGAGGACATATGGTGCCCTCTTGAATGCATATGTTCATTCTAGATCAAAAGAGAAAGCGGAGTCTTTACTCGACGTAATGAGAAGCAAAAGGTACTTGATACATTCACTACCGTTTAATTTAATGATGACTCTGTACATGAACCTTCGAGAATATGATAAAGTCGATATGTTGGTTTCAGAAATGAAAGAAAAGAACATACAACTAGACATGTATACATATAATATCTGGTTATCTTCTTGTGGATCACAAGGATCTATAGAAAAGATGGAACAAGTTTTTGAACAAATGTCGAAGGATCCTACCGTTATCCCTAACTGGAGTACATTCAGTACAATGGCCGCAATGTACGTTAAGATGGAACTGTTTGAAAAAGCACAAGAGTGCTTGAAAAAGGTCGAGGGTAGGATAGTAGGTCGAGATCGAATACCTTTTCATTATCTACTTAGTATGTACGGAAGCATTGGAAACAAAGACGAAGTTTATCGTGTGTGGAATAACTATAAATCAATATTTCCAAGTGTACCTAACTTAGGATACCATGCTGTTATTTCTGCTCTCGTAAGAATGGACGATATTGAGGGTGCAGAAAAGCTTTATGAAGAATGGGTTTTGGTTAGGCCGACGGATGATTCTAGAATAGGAAACCTTCTTATAGGATGGTATCTTAATAATGGAAAATCAGATAAAGTTTTGAGTTTCTTTGAGCATATGACTGAAGGTGGTGGGTGTCCAAATTCAACAACATGGGAGCTTCTTTCTGAGGGTCATATTGCAGAAAAGAGGGTTTCAGACGCTTTGTTGTGCTTGGAAAAGGCTTTTACGACTAGTGGTTCGAAAAGTTGGAAACCGAAGCCAATAAAATTGGCTGCATTCCTTAAGCTTTGTCGAGACGAAGGCAAAATGGAGAGTGCTGAGGTTTTAATTGAGTTGTTGAGGAAGTCAGGATACCATAACACTGAAGCGTATGCGTCGCTAATTAGCAAAGATGACTTGTCAAGCAAGATTGAAAGAATGAATGATATTGTCGACAGTGAAAACATGAATGGTGATGATAATGATGAGTGTCAAGTGTTGTTCAACCAAGTAGATAGTAGCTTTTGAGAATTTGTTTTTGTTTTGACCTATGGAAAATGAGTTGCTAGATCATAAGGAGGAATGTTTTGATGTTTTTTCTCTCTCAAGCTTCTATGACTTTTATGAGCTTCATTTTTATAAAGATAAACTCTATAGTAATTAAAATAAATATCAGTTAGTTTTGGTTGGATTTAATTTTCGATGAGTCTAAAATAGTTATCCAACCCCGACTGAAATAATCGTATACTATTCAAATTAAACAATCGGATCAATCTGACACACCCGATAATTTCAACACTTAATTTAATATATTATAGAATGGATAGTTGAGAATGAATGACTTGCAACCTCTTGTTTACTTATTGTTTTGTTGTTTTTTTTATTTATAAATTAATCACATTTATTATCATTCTTTAATTTTTTTTAATTGTTATATTGGGCCTTTATTGCTTTATAATAGTCAAAATAAGTCCAATTTTAATTTTAAAAGTTAATGTTAACATTAAAAATTGTAAATTCTAATATTTTAAAATATTAGTTTAAATGTAACTTTGCTTTCCCTATTTTCTTTCGGTTTTAGTCTCTTTATTTTAAAGTTTATTTTTATTGATCCCTTCATTTCATTTTTTTTCTTTGAAATTTTAGTCCTTTTAAATATGAGACCAATTTAATTATATGACAGTATATTTGATGATGTATTAATACCGCATTCGTAATAATAAATTTTATGTTATTTTTTATTACTATGTATTAATAATTTAATATTTTTCAGAATAATTTATTTGACCATCTCTTTTTTAATAATTGATTTAAATGTAATAATTTATTATTACTATGATAAATAATAATTTTAGTCCCTTATGATTGCATAGTAATAACAAATTATTATTATTATATACTGTAAAAAAAACAATTATTATTATATTTTAAATTTAAAAAAACTAAAAGAATTAAATTATATATTAAAAAAAAAAAGCAAAATAGAATTGATTCTTTCATTAAATTAAGTTACCATTAAAAAAATTTATTTTTCTACCTTTTCCCTCCCTCTCTCAACCTCTAATAAAATATTATCTTCCATGGTCGATGTGCTTTTTTTTCAACTGCAGTCACACTTGACTGTCCCTTAATCCAGCGACGACAACATCAACTATCTCTAAAAGCAGCTACATTGGCTATATATATATGATTGATATAGGTTGTTCTTCAAAATCAATGAAACCACTATTATCTTCATTTGCCCATATCTATTAAAGGTGATACCTTACTTCATTGAAGAAGGTCTTTTTATTTCTAACATTTTTTCAGCCCTGTAACTAAAACGTAAAAAAAAACTTTTAGAAAAGGAAGGAGGTGTAGATTTTAAAAGATGTAAAAATACTAATCAAATATTTAATATTTTGAAACAAAAACAAAATATATACTTTATAGGTCAAAATCCTCAATAACTTATAAAAAGGACCTTAGATCACGGTGGATAAGACTCTATTTTTTTCATATTAAATGGGTGATATTTGAGGGAATTTCTTAACACACTTTATGTTTTTTTAACGTACCGTGCGAAAATATTTAAATATTTTTAGATTTTAGAGATAATTTTCGGGACACACCAAGATGTAATAAAATACAATTTTTTTCAGGAGTTATATTTCTGATATCAGACCGGTAGTATATTTTCAGAATAATGCCTTACAGAATATAGAAAAACAGAATAGAAATACACCAACTTCACAAAATCAAAAGATCATTGGTATCATAAAATAAACAATACATAAGAGATTTTAACATAGATCAAACATTGCACTTCAATATCCAGGTGAACGTTGCAACATCTTGATAATATCATCGACCGATCTTAAAATAGTCGCATCCATCTCGATCAAATTTTTTGATTCTAAACGGGTAAAAGTATTCTACATAGCCTGTAAATCAGCACCCGTCTTCAGCTCACGGTTGATGAACTCAAGCTTTCCTTCGTTATCAATAGATGGCGAGCGATACTCGATCTTCACAATTTTCAAGATATTTCAATAGGTTCATGTGTTTATTTTCATGCCTTCATCATCAAGTTTCTTCAAGTTTTACCAAGATTAATCAAAGAGAAATAAAGAGTCCATCATTTTAAGTACATATGATCATCAATGTGTCTTGGATTGCAAGAAAAAGTCCAAAGTTGCAAGATTGTTCAAAGTGGTTTGACCTAAATCGTCAATTTTTAAACTCAAGTTCAAAATATCATAACTTCTTCATAATAATAATTTCCCAGTTACAAAATATGACAAGTGAGCTTATTTATAGTAGTGAGATGATATTATGGACCACACAAATCATATCTACTGACAGAGAATGTACCAGAGATGTAATTCCATAACCACCCATATTTATTTCGGAGATACATCTCTGAAAACTTCTCTGGTATTAAAAAAAACAGAAACAAATCAGAAAGAAAAGCAACTAATTGTATTGAATGCTGATATTTTTGAACAAACTACAAAATGCTTATATTTCACAGCATAATACATTAACAAGATGTCATATGCAATAAAATGATAAATAACTACTTAAATGATCTGAAATAATTGTCGTCGGCCAAATCTTTAGGAAATACCCCCTTTGACCTTTCCTTATTATTTTCTATTTCAATGTTGTTCAATTTGTTGTACTCTTGAATCCTTTCAATAAATTGGTCTGGCCAAGTCTCGGATTGGATTGTATAATGATTCGCTCACTCCGATAATGTACGTGGTATAGGGCATCCCAATTTTAAATACACTTGAAGAAAATTCCGCGGATTTGAAACCCACCCAACATAGATAATACGATCATTGGAATTTGGTGGTGGAGCAGTGCACAGTGGGAAAACAGATTTTGAGAAACCGTATCTTGTAAGATTAATACACACTTTCTCATACGCATTTGCTATGAGATGACCCATATCAGGGAAGCGTGTTCATTTTTCTCCAGTGCATGTCCACTGATGCAAGGTACAATAACGTGATACATTTCTTCAACTTTCACTTTATTCCCGAGCACCCATGTGTATATCTATTTCTCCTCAACTATCTGATAAGAGTATCCAGACAAGTTGGTGATCCTCTCTCCTTTTACCAAACAAACCAGAAAGAGCCTGAAAGTCATAGTTACCGTCACCCCTGACATTGACTATCAGTTCAATATGATTGTGCATAAAAATTGGTATCTCTTTGATGAATGGAATTTTTGGTGGAGGCGGTGTAAGGGGTGGTTTGCTAATGTGGGCTCTTTTGAAAACACTTTTTTGAGATTTCAGAATCGATGAATCGGGAAATTTTTTTGTCAACGTGTTCAAAATATGATGGACTCCTCGTTGTTAATTTATCATCTGGTGTAGGTTTCACTTTCTTAGCTGCTCCTTTTGTTTTTATCGGTTGAGAGGGTGGTTTCAAGTATGTCTTCTCAGAGAATGCCATCTTCCACAATTTCTCTTTGATGTGGCATTTTGTGTTATCACCGACTTTCAAAAATCTTTCTTGTATCACTTCCCATTCAATCAGGATAAAGATATTCAATTTACCGTCTTTCATAACACTGTCATCTTCAAAACTAAGCCTCTTCCAATGACTTTAGACCCCATCCATTCGTATCGGGAAATCAAGTTTCACCTTAGATATGACACAAACACATGAGAGACCATATGTTTTCACAAGTGTGCAACCACACTTTAAGCTATCAGAACCTACATTAGAAGCTCGTTTGGCTTCGTGAAAAATATAATTCATAGCTGATCGAGATATGTTGTTAGCCAACTGAGAATATAGAGTGTTATCTTTGAACCTATGTATCATCACTGTGATATTACGACCAAATGACGTGTGTATCTCATTATGATGGTTTAGTATCATTTGGTTCACAGATTCCAATCCGCACACAAATCACCCTTGCTATTTCCCAACAAATTCTCCAGACAAGCATGAGCAGACTCAACTCAGTTTGTTGTTGTATTTATAAGGTGCATAACTTGATCGGTCCAAGCACAAACAATCTTCTTTTTTACCTGGTCCAAAATTATGCTTTCAACATATTTCAGTAAATCAAGATATTTCACGCACACCTTCCTGAAATGTATAACAACTTCAGCATATAGCTATTTTATAGATGCATTTATTATAACATTCCACGCATCCATAATTTTCTCCATAATAACGTCCACCTTGACAAGTTTTCCATCTTCACCTGCAATTTGTTTTGTCCATACCGCGAATTTAACCCGACTTCTCACATTCTTAGTAATGTGATACCTACAAAGTAATGCATAAGAAGTGGAAAATATCATTGTAACCAAGTTTATTAATGTGGTATCTCAGCCGATAACAATGACTTTCGATATATCTTCTTGTTCATTCAATATTGACCGGCAAACCTCTAAAGCACATGCAAAATTATCCTCTTTTTTGCACTCTCACTACTAAAAAAATGACATTTGAGAAAAAGGTTTTTACATCAGGTATCAAAATATATGATGTAAAAAATAAAATTAAAAACATTTTACATCAGGTATTTATTTGCAATGATATAAATAATGTGAAAAAAACGTATTTTCGCTATCTTTTACATCGGTCCATTTAATCACCCGATGTAAAAGATTTCGTGAAAAAAAACACGGTGGCATTTTTGTAAATAAGAAACCAGGTGGTAGAAATATTGTATATAAAAAACTGGCCAGATATTACATCGGGCCTTTTGAAAACCAATGTGAAAAGTCCTTGGCAGATTGGTAATATAAAAAATATATTAAAAAGCTTACATCGGGCCATCCTGAAAACCGATGTAAAAAACATCAGTGCCAGAACCTTGCATCGGCCCAAGGAATTCACCGATGTAAAAACTTGCATCGGCCAAGAAATGCACCGATGTAAAAACTATAAAGACCCGGTAATGGCCCAGAATCACACAAACTATAATGACCCGAAAATCCTCATCGTACGATCATATCATCAACCCCTAATTCCAACCGTTAGATCAAAACAATAGGCCATACAAAACCAACC